GCGTCAGTATAGCTAGTTATCGGTCTCTGGTCACGTGTCTTTGTTCCGTTCGTTACTAGTGAATTCGTAACGCTTCAGATATATCAATTGGCGACGGTGATTTGGAATTATGGATCCTGCAAAAGTGGAATTATTGCTCGAACAGCAGATGAAACTTATCAAGATGCTAACAGAAACAAAAATTACGATCAATAGCCAATCAAGCAGCTCTAATCCTACCACTACTGCACCTTCAGTTGATGGTATTGCCAGCAGTATTTCTGAGTTTCATTACGATCCTGAATCTAATGTTACGTTTGATATGTGGTTCCGCCGTTATGAAGATTTATTCAGATTTGATTTTGGCAATCAAGATGATGCTTGGAAAGTCCGTTTGCTGCTTCGAAAGCTGGGTCCTAGTGAACTTGATAAATATTGTAACCTGATTTAGCCTCTAAACCCACGCGATCGCTCATTCTCAGACACTGTTCAGTCATTGAGCCAACAGTTTGGTGATAATTCCTCACTGTTCAACACACGCTATCGATGTTTGAAGCTGACTATGAACGAAGACACCGATTTTCTGACGCATGTGGGCATTGTCAACCGCGAATGCGAACGCTTTCGGTTGAAGTCACTAACTGAAGATCAGTTTAAAGCCCTCATTCTCATCTGCAGCCTCCAATCGCAAAAGTTCAGTGATATTAGAACACCCGCTCCAGCTATATCTAGTTCGTCTCACTCTAACTCAGTTCAACAAGCAAAGACGAATCCTCCTGCTCCATGCTGGCACTGTGGTGCATGGCATTATGTTCGAAGCTGCCCGTATAAACAACATCGTTGCAGGAAGTGTAAAGCTGTGGGCCACAAAGATGGTTTCTGCCAAAATAAAAAGTCGAATCGCCCCAAAAGTACTAGAAAGTCTGCTCCCAAGCCGCGCACAAATTCGTTGAGTCTTGTAGCATCCTGTCAGAACTCAACCCCAGATTACAAATAGACACAGCATCTGACGTGACAATTCTTTCACGAAAATCTTGGATTAAAATGGGCAGACCACGTATGGTGTCAACAACACAAAAACCTCGTACATCATGCGGTAGTTACTTACGTTTGTTAGGTCAACTACATTGTGAAGTGTCTTTTCGCGATTCGACGTTCACTGGGATTGGTTTGACAAACTGCATTTAGCGGACGTCCCGTTAAACACTGTGTATCAACTAGTAAAACAACCCCATGACCCGGAAGCCTATTCAAAGGAACTAGTTACGAAGTTTTCGACCGTCTTCCAGCCTGTTTTGGGTCGGTGCTCAGCCATGAAAGCAACGCTTCGATTGAAACCTGGGGTCAAACCTACTTTTCGTCCGAAGAGACCAGTACCATATGCGGCATTACAGAAAGTTGAGGAAGAACTTAATCGTCTTCAACGTGAAGGAGTTATTACTCCTGTCTCTTATTCCGCATGGGCAGAACCCATTGTTGTTATCAAGAAGGCTAATGGTACAATCCGAATATGTGCAGATTTTTCCACAGGTCTCAACGCAGCCCTAGAACAGCATCATTATCCGCTGCCAGTCCCGGCAGATTTGTTCACTATGCTGAATGGCGGAAAGTACTTTGCGAAGTTGGATCTTGCTGATGCCTACCTACAAGTAGAAGTGGCTGAAGAATCAAGAGAGCTACTCACTATTAATACTCATCGTGGACTGTTCCAATATAATCGACTGCCGTTTGGAGTCAAGACCGCCCCATCTATTTTCCAGCAGCTAATGGATACCATTCTATCAGGTATCCCGGGGGTCGCAACTTATCTGGATGACATCCTCATTGTTGCCACAACGTCGGAACAGCTACGAGAACGCACAACAGCCGTGCTCCAACGCGTCAGCGACAACGGGTTCCGGTTACGCCCGGAAAAGTGCCAGCTTTTCTTGAAATCCGTGAAGTATTTGGGGTTCATCTTTGATGCTGCAGGTCGCAGACCAGATCCCGAGAACATTCGAGCTATAAGAACTATGCCCACACCTACCAATATCTCTACTCTACGATCATTCCTGGGATTGGTTAGTTATTACTCAGCCTTCGTTCCATCGATGCATGACATACGCGCCCCACTGAATTATCTCCTGAATAAGGATATCAGCTGGAACTGGACAAAGGAGTGTGAAAATGCCTTTTGTAAGCTAAAGACAATTATTAGTTCAGCACTACTATTAACGCACTACGACCCGTCTTTGCCAATCATCGTGGCCGCAGACGCTTCAGCCTTTGGGCTCGGTGCTGTCATTTCACACCAGTTCCCCGACGCGACAGAGAAAGCTATCATGCATGCATCCCGAACATTAACCCCAGCAGAAAAGTATGGCCAGATAGAGAAGGAGGCTCTTGCCCTAGTATTCGCAGTGCGTCGTTTTCACAAGTTTCTATATGGTCGGAGATTTACTCTCCTAACGGATCACAAGCCTCTCCTTGCAATTTTTGGTTCGAAGTCTGGCGTCCCGGCCCACTCTGCAAACCGTCTTCAACGATGGGCCTTGATCCTCTTGGGTTATGATTTTGACATTCAGTATCGACGCACCCAACATTTTGGTCAGGCAGACGCATTGTCACGACTCATCAGCGAACACTCTACGACCGACGAAGATGCCGTTATTGCTTCTCTTTCGACAGAAGACCACGCACAATGCTACCTGACAACAGTTGTTCGTGCCTTGCCAGTCTCAGAATCTGAGATACAAACTGCTTCCAGAAACGACCCCATCATTAAGAAAACGATGAACTACGTCACCCATGGCTGGCCATCAACTAAACTTGACGGTGACATGAAGCAGCTTTACCATCGTCGTGACTCATTATGTGTCGTAAGTGAATGCTTGATGTTTGGAGATAGAGTGGTGGTGCCAGAATCCCTGCGACCGAGGGTGCTGAAGCAATTCCACATTGGTCATCCAGGCATAAAGCGTATGAAATCCATCGCCAGAAGCTATGCTTACTGGCCCCTCATGGACCAGCATATCGTGGATCTAGTAAACAAATGTGCTCAGTGTCAACAAGCTGCAAAGTTCAATGCAAAGGTGCCGCCGGTTCCATGGCCACAGCCTGAGCATCCCTGGTCTAGGATACATGTCGACTTTGCCGGTCCAATCAACGGAACCACTTACCTTGTCGTGGTCGACGCCTTCTCGAAATGACCGGAGATTGTTCCCGTCAATCCACCAACGACCACCCAGACTCTGAAACATCTGACTGAGTTGTTCGCACGAAACGGATTACCGGAAGTGATTGTATCCGACAACGGTTCGCAGTTCACCTCGGCGCAGTTCCAAGAGTTCTGCAAACGCCTAACCATCAGATATCTTCGCGCCCCACCTTATCACCCACAATCGAATGGGCAAGCGGAAAGGTTCGTGGATACGTTCAAGAGGGCCCTTATTAAGTCAAAAGGGGAGGGGACACCAGTAGAAACACTGCAGCATTTTTTATTCGCCTACAGAACGACCCCCAACGACACGCTGCCAGAGCAGAAGTCCCCCGCAGAGATCCTCATGGGAAGACGGTTAAGGACCATCCACAACTTGATGCTGCCGAGAACCACACCACCACTAGTACAAACCACGTCCCGGAAGCTACCCACGTACAACGTTGGATGCCCAGTATTTGCTAGAGACTACAGAGCAAGTCGTGACCCTTGGATCGAAGCACGTGTGGTTAGAAGGGTAGGAGAAGTCATGTACGAGGTTGAGGTGGGAGCGGACAGGTGGACCAGACATCGAAATCAACTACGCAAGCGGTTAACGCCAGAGCGCCCATCGACCGAAGTAAAGATCCCGCTGGACGTACTATTGGATACCTTTAATCTGCCGGCAGTCCCAAAGCATGAAGAAATACAAAAAGTCGACCTACGGTCCCGAAGATGGTCACTGCGCCAACGGCGAAAGACAGTCAGAATGCAAGTGGACCCGAAGAGTGTGCGTTATTAAAGGGGGAGGTGTTGGGGATGTCGAATCCCCAGAACTTACTTGATAAGTGGCTCAATTTTGTAATTTTATTTTGTAAATTTGAATTTAGCTGTTTTCGCGCCAAAACGTGCTCTTATTACCTTCATATCATATTTCCCACTTGTAATTATCTTAACGCTATTGGTCCATTGTTTCTTTGTGTGTGCTAATTATTAACGATGCCCAAGGACATTTCGTTGCTGTATAAATACGCTTGACTTTTTCCCTTATTTGATTACTGTGCTTCTGGCTGCTACGGAATATAACTTCCCCGCTCCAACTTGGACTTCTTACTCTAGTTAGCTGGGTCTGGGTCGCGTCAGTATAGCTAGTTATCGGTCTCTGGTCACGTGTCTTTGTTCCGTTCGTTACTACTGAATTCGTAACGCTTCAGATATATCAGTGGCGCACATATATCTGGTGCCCCATTGTACCAATATTTATGTTTTAAAATAAATAAATAAATAAAACACAGCAGCTTGAACAGAAAAGAACAGCTCAAGGAATGATGATAAGGATTTGACTCCCGAAATAAATCGAGGTGATTTAAGAACATATCACATTTTATATGATCTATTTACAGTTAGATTAACAGTCAGATTTGTACAAACTGAACCGAGTTGCATTTAACAATAATAATAATATTTCAATAACTTACTATACGAACACATGTTAACGATATTATACAATTAAGCATCTATGATTCTTCTTAAAATGTAATGAGTACATATTACACACAATTGGAATAAGATAAATTTTTTATGTCACTCGCTTTCCAATCGCTTAATCTATTTCTCGCCAAATCAATATGAAATGTGTTTTTGTAACTCGCACGCATGAAGACAAACACGTATAAAGTAAATTTTACCATTCATGTTTGTCAATCATCTACTGCATGCCATGCATCAACCACAGTCAATGACTCTGCGTTCGCGCACCTAAGGTCTAGAATTTGGTAAATACTTAATCACTTACAAAATTAGGGAAAATGACTCAAGGCATAGAACTGAATAACAAGAAACTCACTTTCGTAAATACAGATAATGGAAATCCCCAATCATCAGTAGGAAATGGTGAATTTAACGAAAATTTGATGGTTTGATATTTTTGAAATGACTCGTTTATTACAGGTTGTTCTAATTCCGTATGCAATGTATCAGATAGAGTTTTTATATGATTTCTTTGTGAATCAAGATTGTTGGCTGAAAACAAAAATAGAATGAGTATTTACAAAATCCTGATTGGTAGATAAAATTGTCAATCCGACTATGAATTCAGTATAGAGCTGCATAAAACGGTTTTGAGTGAATATATATATATATATATATATATATATATATATATATATATATATATATATAAACCTTCAGGTGATACAACGAAGAGAAATTAGCAGTCAGTCGTAAGCAATATCGAACCTTGCACATATGCATATCATCAAGGTATGAGCGCATAGAGCTCAAATTCTCAAGATGAACGTCATGGTAGTAGTTACAGTAACAGCATTAGTGGCAGTGTGGTGTGGGTTACTGATATCCACATAAGTAGTATATGGTGATGGTCGGGCATTGAATGTATTTCAGTAGAAGATCGATAAGGAGAGAACGGAAACGGTACGCATTTGGTACGAAAATGCATGAACAATTATAATCGGAGACTATGGACGGATATTTACAGAAGAAACAATCAAATTGAGACAATTGATTGATATTTTGCAAATTAACTGTTTACTATATGCTTCTCATATTTTAATGAGATATTCTGTGATGTTGTGCTAAAATATATTCGATTGTCCCCACTCGTGCTCTCATTCATTACAGTAGTAGTTAACATAAAACACATACAATATGATTCAAGAGAAAAAAATTTTCAGAATGGAAGTGTAAAGTAATTTAACACTTGAGAGCTTAATAAAGACAATGAGTGGATGTATCTGTTTCACTACGACTGATTCTCAACTATACCGCGTTGCCAACCAAGGATCTACGACAATTACGTAGACATTGACTTGATATTCTGCACCTATCGAAACAGCTAGAAGTAGGTACTACAGAAAATACGAAGTAAAATGACTTATACGATATACATGATGAGTATTCGGTTGTTTACATATGAAAAAACCACACATCTGATGTCATTTTCAACAAAAGCTATAAAATGGATTCTGCAAACAATTCATTAAAATGGGTACTGGTAGACAGGCGATATTAATAACCCTGCATATGTGCTGGTGTTATAATTGCAGTATAGTTGGTGAACATATCGTTTTGAATAATACTGTTAAACATCGGCTCATATTATAAAAATGAGAACTTGCAAAAAAGGCATGTAAAATATTTTCATATAATAGGCCAATAAACAAACCTGAGTTCTTGGAATCAACATTTAAAGTAAGCTGAAAGTTTTCTTCCTAGAAGATTGAAATGGACAAAAGATCCATTGATGAGTTATTATTGATGTGAAAAAGTTAAAGACATGAAAGAATGAAAAAAGGAAATGACTAGTTGGATGTTTATTTTTTATGTTTGAAAGTAAGTAACCATTAAAAATGGATGGAATACATATTTAAGAGAAATCCAACGATGCTTTCATTCCAAATCAATATTATTCATTGAGACTTGGAGTACATTATGCTAAGGTATAAAATAAACAGTAATTCTATATTAATAATACTTAATTCCATGTATAAAACAAGTTACACTGAAAGCTTGCGGTTTCTTGGTAGTATATATCGAGCTTCCAACGACTCATACACAGAGTACCATACATCTATGAATCGACTTTTGTAAGAAATCTAATTATCGAGCACTGACGAAATGATCAAGGGACAAGATACATGATTAAAGCAGACAGTGAAAAGTCGTCTGTTATTCCTTGTCCAGTAATCTTTAACAATGTAGATTTAAGAATTCATATCATGAAAAAAATCCGTAGTATTCATAAATACATTTGAAAATATCTTAAAACTTAACAAGTGACCATCCAATACACCGTTTAACAAATAGTAATTCGTATACAAGACTTTCAACAACTGACTTTGTGAAACCATATTTAAATCCATAATTATGGTGTACTGGAAATGAAGATATCTAGAAAGCGCAGAAAGTGGGCAAAACCTGGTCTCTCCAGTAAGAAAATAAATAACCAACACTAAAACGTAATTGAACATGAATAGTGAAAAAGGTTACATATCAACGACAATATTTAGCATCACAATTTTTAATTGAGAACCATAACAAATGAGGATGTTTCTGGGGACACACAAGAAAGCTCACTTTATTTAGAGTTAAATCTATATGCTGTTCTGACACTCGTCCATTGATCTTGGTTAATGATTCTTCTGATGGATACTGATAAGAATTAAAGCTATTTGAACTAGGATCATTGATATTAGACCAATAACTAGTCTCTGAAATCCATGAACGATCAATAAAGGAACATTGTGACAAACCACTGCGTAACATATCTGTTGGAACGTATGATAATGGAAATATTAATTAAAGAGATATAACCAATGGATTCATGATAAAATCAATAGTAGAGAGTAAAATGTCGAATATATCAACCTGAGCTGTTCTCTGACTGACCGTAATATTAGGTTCAACAAAATTACCAGTATACATATTTAGCAACGAAATGTCCTACCCTTGTTCAATATAATTTCCTCTGGTCTAAAATAGTTCAGTTACATATGCATTATAGTTTGGTTTATAGTTCTTTCTGGTTTCTCTTTGGACAGAAAAAAATGCACAGGCTTACAATCATATGTAAGTTGGAGGAAGAAGGTTAGTGCATTTATAGCATTACGTTTTGAACTCATTGCATAGATCAGAACATCATTTCGGATACACACATGAGTTTGCTGTAAAGGACATTTTTCTATTTTTAGGGATATGTTCTTTGAGTCAAATTAGCCCAATCATTTAAAAACCTTGATTTTCGTTAGTTCATAGCTTGTCGATATATATGTCAAGATAATTTATAATATTACCAAATCATCAAGAAACTTAGCAGTAAATTTGACTGCTTAAACTATAATTAAAATTATAAATAAATAATATATTTGTAATATCCCAATGAGTAGAAAAATTAGATTTTCTGACGTTTCGTGACTCAGTGTAAGCCCCTTCTTCAGAGAAAGGTCACACATTTTTCATCATTTACAGTGAACACATACAAACAAAAATTACATACATGTCACTTATGAATCACCTTGACCGCAATGAAATGACTTGACATTGATTTATTGAGACCTGTTTTTGATTGATCACCTAATTATTCTTGGATTGTTCCGTTGTACTATTTAAACTTGGATTATTGTTAATTTGGTTAATTATTCTCTGAAGAAGTGGCTTACACTGAATCACGAAACGTCAGAAAATCTAATTTTTCTACTCATTGGAATATTACAAATATATTAATTTATTTATAACAATCTACCCAATGCTCAATTTATTCAAAATTATCAAATCAAAACTTGGTAATGATACCTATAATTAAAATTGCATTGTGAAATTACATATCTTAATGATTGTTTACACTTCCAAATAAGTTGTGATTAGAAATTGTATGGAAGACAAAAACTATTACAGGAAATAAATAACATAAATTTGATCACCTGGATACAAACTGAGTAAAGTTAACATCCAATTTGACACAGTTCCGCCAGAATCTCCCGTAAATAAAATACGTCTTTCCAATAAAAGTAATTTGAATAAACATAATGCGTCACGTTTGTAAACGCGAACAAAATTGGACACATTTAGATTATAAAATAGTGCATCTATGGAGACGTTGAAATAGAAACCAAAAAAGATGAGCTAATAAGAGTATACAACAACGGTAGGAAAGAAATTAATTAAAGTCTTCATTAATGTACGACAACTATGAAAAAGGTAGTTACGACAAGTGAATAACTGATAAATAAAATAATTTTTAAAAATGTAACAGGACTTTTATTTATAATATCAAGTGTTCTATGAAACCATTTTTGGGAATTATGCAAATATTCGCTGAACTACCAACTCAGATTAGTCACCATACTCAGAATAAGTAATGCATGGAGAATTTCTCCAGCTTCAAGTTAAAATCAGTTAGTTTGGGTTAGAATGGTAGCTGTTAAGTTCATCATAGCAATGAAGACCAGTCTGATCTCTACAACGATAGATATACAAAAGGCCAACATGGAACGGGTAGTCATACGAACTTACAGAGTTGGATACTGTTGAGTAGGAAAAGATATTTAATCCCCTCTATACCCTAAATGACTAGACGAACATGTACAGAAGAAATAACTGATGACGAAATGAATAAAATCTGACTAATGCTTTTGAAGAATGGTTCTATAATGAACGAGAACACAAGTGGGGACATACGAATGTATTTAAACACAAAATTACAGAATGTCTTAGTAAAATATGAGAACCGTGCAGTAAATACTATTCTCGAAATGTCAATTGATCGTTTTGGACTTCATTGTTCCCTCATTTCCAAACCAATCGTTCTATGTTCTCGTTCACTTCTCTTCGATCTTCTTAACCTTATGCCACTAGGCATTTCACTTTCAATTGGCGGTACATACTACTTATGTCTGCTGATATCAGTAGCACACACCACAGTTAACCAACCAAGTCTATTGGTAATAATCTGAAACCAAAACGTCAAGCTCAAAGTACTCACAAAGTCCTGAAGTTTCATTCATGAATTCAGGGAAGATAAGGTTGAAAAGATATTAAAAAACAGACTATCTAGATCTTTGAGAAAGATGTTTTATTCAGCGAAGCTCGGAGTTGTTTTCTCTACTAAAAACTACATTCGGGGAAGTGTCAAGGACAAACGGTCACCTTGTGCCGTTTCACTATGCATTTATCACTTGTCCTCATGGAACGGAATATTTTGGCCAGATAAAGCGTGCACTTAGTAAACAAGTATCGTTGCACTACTCTGGAAAGAAGGATACCTCATCAACATACCAAACAGATCTGAGCAAATGTGAGAATTACAGGGGCATCAATTTGGTGTCAGTACCAGGAAAAGTTTTCAACAGAGTGTTGGTGGACCAGATGAAGCTCGAAGTAGACACCCAACTTCGTGATCAACAGGCTGGATTCCGTAAGGATCGGTTGTGCACAGACCAAATTGCGACACAAAGGGACATCGTTGAACAATCAGTTGAGTGAAATTCGTAACTATACATCAGATTCGTTGACTATGAGAAGGCATTTGGCAGTGTGGACCGGAGAACATTGCGGAAACATCTTCGACACTATCGAGTTCTTCAGAAGATTGTCAACATTATCCAGAAGTCATACGACGGACCACAGTGCTAAGTCGTGCATGGAGGACAGATGACAGATGCATTTACAGTAAGGACCGGAGTCAGACAAGGCTTTCTACTCTCCCTCTTCCCCTGATGCAAATGTAAAGGCGAGGATTGGCAAAGCAATTGAAGAATATATGGAACTCAAAACAACTGTTGACTAACTTCAAAGTGAGAATCTTCAATACGAACATCAAGACAGTCAGTTCTACTGTACGGAGCTGAAACGTGGAGAACTACTACATCCACCATCAAGAATGTACAAGTATTTATAAACAGTTGTCTACGCGAAATACTCAGCATTCATTGGCCGGATACTATCAGCAACAGCGTTTTATAGGAGAGGACAAACCAGATCCTAACTGAAGAGGAAATTAGGAAAAGACGTTGGAAGTGGATAGGACATACATTAAGGAAATCACTATCGTTGCTGCTACCTTGACGTGGTGGTCGGGCTTGCCTATCGTGATGATTCAGTCGAGCTATACTGGCTGGAACAATCGTTCCTCAAGGTCCTACCATGCCAGGCAGGTCGTTTGAATAGCGGTGAGACTAAAAGCAGCAAACCCAAGGTCCGAAGGCGAAGTCGTACTGCTGACTGTACAGAGGTGTGACAGCAGTAAGGTGTTTCCTTCAGACAACCAGCATGACAGCGATGCTGCCTTCCCACAAGGAGGGGTGAGGTTAGAAAAGGTCGACCCTAAAAATGCACACCTCGCATTATCCCACGGATATCCGTCTCCGGTAAGGTCCTTTGAAAAACGGAGCTACCACAAAAACTACCCACAAAAAGGTCGTGTGTGACCGGCCTCAAGCAGTTGTCCCTTGGGCACTGCGGTCACGCTCCGAGGTCGTGAAGACCAACACTAATCCAACTTCTTTTTCAGGTACCTCTAGAAGAACCCTTCCAGGGTGTGGGCAGCCGGGAAGTGATATTAGCCCTCATACCTGTAACAGCACTCAAGACCACCGTATTCATAATCAATCTCCTTCAAGGAAATCACGAGGCAATCCCTAACTTAGAATCCTGAAGGTAAGCGGAAAAGAGGAAGGCCAAAGAGTACATTACGCCAGGAGATTGAAGCAGATATGAAAAGGATGAAGGGTAAGTGGAAAGAACTGGGAAGGTTCGCCCAGGACAGGGTTGAATAGAGAATACTAGTGGATGGCCTATACTCCTCCACGAGGGGTAACAGGCATAAGTAAGTCAGTAAGTCAGGTAAATCAGGTAAACCAAGTCAGTCAAAAAGGTGAAAAAATGAAATGTCGATCACCCAATAGTGAAAATTAAAATAATAAAAATAAGTTATCTTATCCCAATCTCCGTAGTGTTTCCTTAGTTATAAAATTCGCTAGTGATAGGCGCTAAAATATTTGCATTTGACTCAACTAGGCGAATAATATGTAAGTCTATAGAAAGATAGAAGACATTGTAGCATAAAGTGATCCGAGATTTCAAAGATCAAAAAGAGGTTGCATATGACGAAGGGGTTAGAGTAAAATAGAAGGATGAAATTAGACAATTGTCTCTCATATTTTCGACTCGTAAACTATTTTTAAGCAACCTCCTTTTGCCATTTGAAATCTCGGACAACTTAATGACTTACATATTTATCAAGTAACTATAAATAAGAATGTAAAGCTTCAGTGGTTAATATGTGGTCTGATGGTAATGTTATCCAGTTGGCTGAATTGGGACCTGATATCTGCTAGTTAGGAATTAATTGTCGATATCACATACGTATACAACAAATTCGTAAATAATGAGTGTAATACAGCTCTTTTTCATTGGACATGAAACAGTCATTTATTTAGAACATTATAATGAACGTAAATGTTTTTAAATATACGAAAATAATTAGTAATCTGTTTCTAGTTAAAGAAATACTAAGCTCTATATATATCAACCCTGCTTCACCTACTGCAGTTTCGGCAGTTGAGTATTGTCGTTAGCTCTTATATTTAGAGTGTGATTGATATCAACTACCTTGTAAATGAGTTGATTTGTTTATTTATTTTCTTTCAAATATACAAAATCAGGTGAAATCAATTTAACTGAAGATGAACACTTAGCGAAAGATTCATTCTGATCAAAGCAACGATTAGGTGGGATATGTTTTTGATAAAAGTGTAATAGTATGCATTTTGTGATGAGGGTAACAACTGTCTATTGCTTTATGAAATTTGTACACGGACATTTCGCCAGACGTTTTGGAGTCTTCATCAGTACAGAACTTCTATCGCGTACTATTCAATCAAGTGTAATTCTAACACAACCTTGGTATACAAACCAGAAACTAAACTACGAATTATGGTACCGACTTTACTGTCTGCCTAATGTCATACAATGACTTTGTGATTATCAAAAGTGATATATATATATATTACTAAGCACATTAGATAAGTGGTTACTAAGTCAGATAATTTGTTAACGGGTTGCATTTTTTAAAGTAGTGCCTTCATTATAGATCAGTATGCTCTGTGTTAAAAAGCTATTTTGTGAACCAATCACAACAGCGCCTATAAAGTTGGTTACTAGAAAATAAACCAATTATTTGAAAATTAAGCACACTATATAACCTTACCTTGGTAAGAAACTGGATCACTTAGAACATTGTCCACCAAATGACTTAATTGTTCATATGAATTCTCGAGACTCTCTGGAGTAAAACCTTTGCTTTTAAACAGATTATCAATTATTGTCGTAAGATGATGGGCGATAAAACTAAAAAGTGGCTAAAGAAAGGAAAAATAAGGGAAAATATTTACAAATTAACAAATTACAAACAGTAATATATTGTAACTAAATATGTTCCTGGATGATACTGACAGTTAGACGGGACCGACATCAATCAAAAGGTTTTAGTACTGTGAATCACTTGTCAGTCAGTCAGTCAGCTACAACGTAGAACTACGTACGTACGTACATCAGTTCGAGTTGCCATACCACATTAGCACAGAGATGAAGTTGTCGATTCAAATCCCATATTGGCAGAAGTAGTAAGAGTATAAGTATTATGTGAAAGATAAGGGTTTGAAGATGTTATTGAGGGAGTATAATACGGTGAAATAAATTTGGAAAGAAAAAAAGGATACGGACATGAAGAATTCAGAAGATTAGAATTTGGTAGAACACAAAGAGTGGGTGCACCTTTGCCATTGCAAACGATTTTGAGCCATGTCATTCAAGGTCTCTAACCATCGGTAGCTATCATCTCGCGAATCCCAACCAGGTAGTCTACACCTACCAACACGGCCCAGTCCACTTGTCAGCGACTTCATGGATTTATGCCATGTTTTGGTCTGACCGCCCCTAGCTTTCTTCCAACCTGCTCCTACACCATAAAGCATTGCACGTCGGTGGTTGGGCATACGTAACACATGTCCCAGCCATCTCAACTGATGAAGTTTCATTACTTCATCAATCGATTTGCCATCCTTACCTAGTACCCGTTTCCTAACATCTGCATTACTTACCCGGTGGTCCCAAGATATACGAGCAATGCTTCGAAGACACCTATGATCGAATACTAGTAGCCTACGAATATCTTCTACTCTTATCGGTCGTTTCACTGCCATAAAGTAGGACGGAACGAACTGCTGCACAGTAAACCCGTCCTTTTGTTGCTAGACGGATATCTCGTCTTCGCCATAAATGGCGCAATTTGGCGAAAGCTAGACGAGCCTTCTGTATCCGTGCTGAGATTTCGTCAAACACCAGACCACAAGGGCTGATGAGACTCCCAAGATAAGTGAAGCTGTCAACACGCTTAACTACTTCACTACCTATCATTAGTTCAGGTGTCGATGCAACCCAATCCTGAAGTAACATTTTGCACTTCGAGGGAGAGAATCGCATCCCGAACATGCCTGCATTGTCGCTTGTAGTGGTCAGAAGACTCTGCATTTTGTCAGCGTCTTCACCAAATAAAACTATGTCATCGGCGTATTCTAAGTCAACAAGTGAATCTCCCGGAAAAGTTCAACACCAGGAGATTGAGATGAAGAAAGGGATATCTCTAAAAGCATGTCAACGACAAAGTTAAAAAAGAATGGGAAGAGTGGACATCCTTGACAAATATCACTTGAGGTAACAAATTCTGATGACAGTTCGCCATAGGCTCTAACTCGACCAGTTGAGTTCGAGTAGAGAGCCTTTATGAGGTTAATGTACTTCTTTGGTACTCCTTTCACTGACAAACACTGCCATAGAACCTCACGATCAACGGAGTCAAATGCCGCCTTAAGGTCAAGAAATACTACTATTGTGGGACGTCTGAATGTATGTCTATGTTCTAGGACCTGACGTAGAGTGAATATCTGGTCTATGCAACCACGTCCAGGTCGAAAACCAGTTTGGTTTTCTGTAGTCTGCTCTTCACGGGCTTTGGTTAGGCGCCTAAGTATTATTGAAGCTAATATTTTAGACACTATATTAGTCAAACTGATTTCTCTGTGATTGTCACAAGAGGACTTTTGTCCTTTCTTATAGACTGGCACAATCAGTGATTGGGACCAGTCAGATGGAATTACGTCCAGTCCCCAGATTCTACCTAAAACCTCAGTCAATCTCGTTGCTAGTACTGAACCACCATCCTTAAAAATCTCAGGGGTAAACCTGTCAGGGCCTGCGGCTCTCCCTCGCTTTAGATTTCCCATATCTTTTTCAACCTCGTAGAGAGTTAGAGGACTTATCTCAATTTGCCATTCAGGATGACTGGGGATCGTGGGTAACTGAAGTGTGGCTGAAGGCCAGTTGAACTGATCCCTAAAGTGTTCTGCCCATCGATCCAATCTCCAGGATTGAGAATGAATGATGTGCCCATCTTTGTCTGAGATAGTTTCGCTAATAGTTGGGTTCCTAATGCCGGTTTCTTTAATAAGTCTGAATAGCCGTCTGCTATTACCTATTGCCGCTGCCTTTTCCATCTCTCTTGCTTTCGCTACCCACCACTGTTCACGATCATTGCGTAGGCTTGTATTTACTATTGAGTGAAGTGAGATGTTATATAATGTGCATATAACTTGCAGTGGAATAGTTTAGGTAATGAAGTCTTTTATATAACACCGAGTATCATTATTGATATCTGACAAACGTCAAGATTAAGCATACGTTTTCACGATGCATGTACATCGGTGTGAAAAGTCCAACACGTTAACATCTGTTGGAAATATTGTTTACTTGAGATTAGGAGGAATAGAGGTGGATTAGCAAGGAGAATTGAAAAAACTCATATCTGACGGGAGAAATTACACGTTAGAAAATTAGATGACTGAAAAGGATAAGAAATAAAATTATTTAATTCAGGAATTACGTCGTTTTCAACCTGTTCTTGTATTGAATAGGTTACCTACTTTCAAGTCCCTCTAAGTTAAGACTGATGATAAATAAAAAATGTGTGATTATACGATTAACCAAGATCAAGTATGCCATCCTCATCATTCTGAAGAACAGGTCATACTATCTGCACCGAAATATGTAGAGAAGTAAAAAAGTATTATATAACATAAAGTATGGATAGTATCAAAGATAATGAAACCATTTAAATTACGGTTACCTTTGCATTCTTTTCAAATTCCAGTAGAGCTTTACAACGATACACATAAAAGCTATTTCTTGTATTTTTATGGATTTTAATTACAGGGTTGGATGTGCAAAGGTGACAATTTTTGTTGAGAATTTCACTATAAGAAGTCAATAATTTAATCGTTTTTGATCACTTGATCTTTTTTGTACTATAGGAACTATTGGTGATCATATGTGTATACGAGAAGAATGGATTTTCGAACAAAAACAGTAAAGTAAACTGAATCATTTGAAATAAATGACTAGAGGACTCAGATGACCGCTTGTTGAAACCTAGTTTCACTTTTAGTTCATTATTTTTACTGTTGAGACGTTAAGCCCGGCTAAATTATCACGTGACTCACTCGCCAATCGGAACACGGCTTATAGAAACTTGGCATTGTGCCAAACCACTGACGTATCGAGCGGTATGGGCCGCCTAATATCCTTAATGGCCCTTTGTCCTCCTAGCCCTGCCAGTTGAGTCCAGAACACTAATACCAGCATCCATTAAACGAATCATTTATTTCAAGCATACCTGGTTTATATAGAAGTCAAAGAGACCACATCACACTACAAAATGAGAAATAACATTTGTACAAGATCAAGCCTTAAAGTGGCTGTGATCGTGTGAGAATGTAATTAACAAACTATGTATGACTTTAGAATAGTAAATAGTATAATAATAGTCTATAGGTCAAAATAAAGCTTCTAACAAAAGGAATATAGATATACATAATCTAGTTACTGAATAGTTGAACAATAAGGATATATACAATATTTGTACACTAATACTTCTCAGAGGTTACCCGTAAATTATTCTTCACTAGGATATAACATTTATCTCACTCCCCTAATCATTCAGTCACCTACAGCGTAGGACCAGGCACATATATGCATCAGTTCAAATTGCCACACATCTTTAGCATAAAAAGATGAACAACAAATTCATAGAAGCAGTTACTTCAATGGTAGTAATATATAAAAAAAGACTGCACATAAGAATATGATACTAGGAGAGAGAATTAGTTCGTAGAAAGAAAGATATAAAGTAATTTTAATCTCACGGTTTAAAGGAAGGCAAAGAGTGTATACACCTACGCCATTGAGATCGAATCTAACCCATGTCACCCAGAGTCTCCAACCATTGGTTACGATAGTCGCGCGGACCCAAACCAAGTAGTCTGCATCTACCAACATTATTATTATTAGCTTTATTCAATATTATATTTTTGGTACAATATAGAATTCTCAGCACAAAGTACTTCAACAAGTTTCCGTTTCTTACTTCTTCGTCCTTCCTGACGATGAATATTGAGTGATCGCCAGTTAGAACTTAGCAGCCCAGTCAATCGACATCTGGATAATGTACATTCTTGTCGCTGCATATTGCCAGCAACCACGATATCTCTGATTAAGCCTTCTGTAACCTTTACAGCGAAAGGTCTTACACTTTTCAGAAACGCACCTGAATAGGTTGTGCGATTAATAGGCATAATGATGTATTAAAACAAACGAAATCAGATAACTGTTTGAAATATCTAGATGACAGGTAGCCCAGATGTTTAAACAGGCCGCCAATGAGGTCAAGGACTAACAACATGGCTCAGACCAGAAGTTAGTGACTTCAAGCACTGATGCTATATTTTGTTTTGACTGCTCCGAACTTTCTCCCAACCATCTCTAACCTTAGTCAGCATTGCGATCCCTGATAGTCGGTAGGTGGGCATGCGTAGTACGTGGCCCAACTATCTCAGTCAATGTAGATTCACAACCTCATCAACTGATTTACCACCATTCCCTAATACCCTGCGTCTAACCTCACTATTACTTACCCGGTGATCACAGCAGATGCGAGAAATATTTCCAAGGTTTCTGTAGTCAAATACTAGTAACTTACGAGCATCTTCAACGCTTAATGGTCACGTCTCGCAGCCGTAAAGTAGAACAGAACGAACTGATGCGCAGTATACTCGTCCCCTAATTGATAGACCGATATCTCGCGTTCGCCACAGGGAGTGGAGGAAGTTGCAAAGGTCGAACGAGCTTTCTGAATCCGTGCAACGACTTCGTCAGACACCAACCCGTTAGGGCTGATCAGACTTACAAGATAAGTGAAGTTTTCGATGCGTTCGACTACTTCACTCCTTATCTTTAGTTCAGGTGTTGACGTAGGCCAGTCCTGAAGCAACAACTCACATTTAAAGGGGGAGAAGCGCATCCCAAACATCCTGGCATTATCATTCAGTACTATCAAAAGACTAGATTTTATTAGCGTCTTCACCAAACAGGACTATGTAATCTGAGTATTCTAAATCAATAAGTGAACCTCTTGGAAGGAGATCGATTCCAGAAAATTCATTCGACGAGAACATCGTTTCCAGCAGTAAGCCTATGATGAAGTTGAACAAAAATGGAGATAGTGGACAACCTTGTGAGAAACCATCTGATGTTGCAAAATCAGATGACAGTTCGCCATAAGCTCAAACTCGACTGGTAGTGTTCGAGTAAAGAGACTTCACAAGGTTTGTGTACTTTTGAAGTACGCCTTTCAATGACAAACACTGCAACAGAACCTCTCGCCCAAGAGTCAAACGCTGCTTTTAAGTCAAAAAAAGCTATCATTGTCGGACGCCGATAAGCATGCCTGTGTCCTAAGATCTGACGAATTGTGAATATGTGATCGATGCAGCCACGACCAAGTTTGAAGTCAGCCTGATTTTCTCATGTTTGCAGTTCACCAATCTTTGTCAAGCGTCCGATAATTACTGAGGCTAGTACTTTAAATGCAATATTAGTCAAACTAATCCCTCCATGGTTATCACAGGATGATTTTGACCAATTCTTATATATTGGGACAATCATTAATTGTGATCAGTCGGATGGGACTACGTCCAACTCCCAGATTTTAGCTAAAATATTAGTCAACCTAATCGCTCAAACTGGACCACCATTCTTAAAGACCTCTGGAGCCTATCCATCTGGGCTAGCTGCTCTTCCCTGTCTCAGATTAGTTATAGATTTTTGAACTTCAACTACAGTTGGGGGGGGGCTACCTCGATGCTCCATTCAGGCTGTTTGAGAATGGTGGGCAGCTGCAGAGTAGCTGAAGGTCAGCTGGCCTGACGCCCATCGTTCTAAACGCCTGAGTTGAGAGAAGATAACAAACTCGTCTTTCTCCGAGATCGTCTCACTTGCACTCAGTTCCCCCATCAACGTTTTCTTAGTAGCTTGATTTACATCAAATGTAACTAACATGAATAATTCGGGCCTATGAAATATTGTTTGTGACCTTCTAAAACCGCGCTCCGAAATATACGTTGAGGCTATCAATATGTGAAATCTGTGTGAAGTCAGAAATCAGGATTTAATAATTAAAACTCTGTGATCCCGCGACATAGATATACACTACCTCTTAAATCCATTTAGATTCACCTTAACAAAATACGGAATCCATAGGATAGATCAGTAAGATATTTCGAGACTCAACAGCCAATTTTCATGTATGTATAAAATTGACTATAAAAGAAAACTGACTATTTAAATATGTGAGTAACAGCTGGTAATGATAAGGATATACACTGCTATCTTTTGAAAGTTTCTACTTCGAAAGGAATAAAAGTGGAGCTCTACTGTGAATTTGCTAGCCCACACGCAACTGAATACTGAAATGTAGTCACAGTGAAACATGGCCGATAAGAATAGATGATATTCGTAGGCTACTAGTATTCGATCATAGGTGTCTTCGAAGCATTGCTCGTATATCTTGGGACCACCGGGTAAGTAATGCAGATGTTAGGAAACGGGTACTAGGTAAGGATGGCAAATCGATTGATGAAGTAATGAAACTTCATCAGTTGAGATGGCTGGGACATGTGTTACGTATGCCCAACCACCGACGTGCAATGCTTTATGGTGTAGGAGCAGGTTGGAAGAAAGCTAGGGGCGGTCAGACCAAAACATGGCATAAATCCATGAAGTCGCTGACAAGTGGACTGGGCCGTGTTGGTAGGTGTAGACTACCTGGTTGGGATTCGCGAGATGATAGCTACCGATGGTTAGAGACCTTGAATGACATGGCTCAAAATCGTTTGCAATGGCAAAGGTGCACCCACTCTTTGTGTTCTACCAAATTCTAATCTTCTGAATTCTTCATGTCCGTATCCTTTTTTTCTTTCCAAATTTATTTCACCGTATTATACTCCCTCAATAACATCTTCAAACCCTTATCTTTCACATAATACTTATACTCTTACTACTTCTGCCAATATGGGATTTGAATCGACAACTTCATCTCTGTGCTAATGTGGTATGGCAACTCGAACTGATGTACGTACGTACGTAGTTCTACGTTGTAGCTGACTGACTGACTGAATGTAGTCACAGTAGTGAATGGCTTTAATGTTCAGCTCGGCGTACTAAGCCAATAACAAGGACATCAAAGTATATTTTGCACTACCCTGAAGTGAACAGATATTTGTCATAGTTTATACTTTGAAAATGATTATAAACAACAGATTTCAGACTTATACGTAGCGAGACAATTGAGGTGATAACGGCCAGGGCTAATCTAATCATAACTATAGGCTACTGTCATTCGTCATCATTAAATACTTACATGTGCTACAGTAGTAGTAAGAATCAGTCAGTCAGTCAGTCAGCTACAACGTAGGACCAGGCACATATATGCATCAGTACACATATATGAATCAGTACACAGAAAACAATGAGTATGAGTATCCCCACGACAAAAATATACTTTAGTATGATTTTCAAGATTGTATTTAGCTGAAAACTGGTAACTATATTTGTTAAAAACGATTACAAATGGAAACAAAATAGAAATCATTGCATACTACTTACAAATCTCGATAGTACAACCAAGCTTTTCTGTACAGTGTTACGAGTGATCTCAGGATTAGGTTGAACATATGACTAAGAATGAAAAGTGCAATTAAAAAATTTGTAAAATTTTTGCTTCTTGACGATAATAAGAAATAAGTGATTAATGGAGAGTTATATTTGCTGAAAGCAATAGTATAATCTTGACAAAACCGTCTCAACGTAAATTATTTTAAAGACAGATGTACCTTTAAAATGGAGACTGATCAATACTCGTGTCTAAAGATATATATAACATATATATAAAACATAACTGACAGTTACGGTTTTCAGCTTTTTGAGTATGAAAGGGAATCAAATCAGAGTTACAACTAAATGGCTGGTTTTTTATAACTTGACATTTCTGTAACACGCAATGATAGGAATAAGTAGTAAATAACCAATAGCCGGCAATATCATTGATAACGGAAGAAAAGATAAAGATTAGACGACAACTGGTCCAGATATATTATTTATTTAAACACAAATATTGGTACAAAGGGGCACCAGATATATATGTGCCACACAAAACAATGAGAATGGGTAGAGAGCTACAAAATGGAAGATGAGATTATGAAGAGATAGGTGGATAGTGTTATGTTCTATGGCCCGTCAAATATCGCGTGACAAAATCACCAATCAGAATACCAATTTGTCCATGTGCTGTATGGGACCGCAACTAATAGATATAAATCAGGAATGGCAAATCGTATAACAATAGCCAATAGGTCAAATAAATGTTTATGATGAGACATATATGTAATCTAGTTAATTAATAGTTATCCAATAAAAATATATGTATTAATAATCCAAAAATAATTCCTAGAAGTTTCTATTCATTTATTTTTCGTAACAGGTATGGTCAGAGACAACGATAAACAATAGTAAGTGGATGACAGCAGTATATAACGGAAGAAAGAGTTAACGAAATACAACCAGAAAAAAATCCTTTCAGTTAAAGAAGCTTCTCTCACTTATATGGCAGTAAAAAAAATTACACAGGGACTGCTATTAGCATCTATTTAGAGCCATACCTAATAAATTCTTGAGCCGCTGTGTTGCACTTTCTCATAGACACCAAACACACTGTCGTGGAGGCCCAACAGATGCCAGTTTTGTACAGTTCACTTCTGCACCGCGGCAGTCATAAACTGACCACCTATCCGCCTTCTCCAACTTGTTTCAGTGTTGAAAAATAATTCTCGGTGTAAAATTCGCAGGAGCAACATTCGTAGTACATGTCCAAGCCACCGAGGTCAATGTTTCAAGATGATGACACCAACAGAATTAGGGCTACCGTGCTTGAACGTTTCCGAACCTCCGCATTACAGACAAGGTGTCGGTGATACATCTCTAGACAACTTTCGCGTATCTTCGAAATATGCTGAAGCCATTTTGCTCTTCAACATATAGCGCACAAACATTAATCTTATAGATACGATACCATTTTACGAGCGCAATGTTGTGAGAAGTACATAAAATACTTTAGCTTAATGACACAAACAATCTTAAGTACTTTTCACAATCACACAGGTAGTTTATGAACAGGTGGAGAAGCAAGACGACTGATGAATTTATTTACAAAGAACAAGTATAGATAGCTATTGGTATGGCAAACGAATTCATAAGTGGACAAACCATTAATACGAGGAACCTAAACAGTAGTTCATTTCAGAGCATCTGTGTCTGAAAACTGTGTGCAAGTATGAGTCACTACATCAGATATCCAAGTATTATTACAAACAGAATAATTTTTAGTTTGGACGTCAGAACAGGAAGTCTCAGACAATGCTACTGGGAGCTATATAGGACTACCTATGATCTCTCTTGTTCAGGAAGCCAACGCAGTTTACCGGACGATTTGAATAAAACATAATAGGTTTTAACCTTCAAAAAAGTACATTTGCGTCAACAGTGTAGTACTGTCTCATGAGGATTCTCTGAAAATAAATTCATGACACTTAAATAGGCTAAAATATTTACAGCGTGGCAGTGACATCAGTCGCAATCACATTACGGAATGCATTTTTGTCAAGGTATTGCTAAGCAATACAATTACTTGGTAAATAGTACAAAAACTTACAGCCGAGTCTGCCTGGCGGTAACAAGCAATACCGAAAACAGCGTCATCTTTCTTCTCTATTGAAGGCAGGCTGAAATACGTACAATCTAAATAAATCAACCAATTATGTTCGTGACCAACCTTTTGTGTAGTTATGGGCTCCATCAGCTATTGCTAAAGCAGGCAAATGACTCCATTGATGCGGGAGATGTGTAGGATCAGAACTATCATATGACAGTGAGGGATAAACTAGCTCAACCTCGTAAAATTAAACGTGTTTATAACGCTAACTACTTACAACGGATCCCTTCCTGTGATGAAAGCCAATTAGAATTAAATTCAATATGCTGTTAGAACCCTGCATCTCTCAAGGTCACATCTCCAAGAGAGCGCTAGCAGCTAAAAACAACCAAACGTTCACTTAAATTGCTGAGGTTTGAACTAAAAAGGTCAATAAGTAAACCTGCAAGCATTTTGCACTTCAGAAATTATCTTTAAAAACACATTCATTTTCCGTTTGATTACTTTCATGATTTTGTGGACGAATATGTGGAAATATATGAACGATCAGTTTGTTTCGCTTTGAAAAGAACAGAAGGCTTGATGGCCTGTGTTATTCTTGGCAATGATGGTCTCTCAGTTGATCCAACTTTCTTTTGAAAGAGTCGACGGATGGAGACTCAACCACGTGCTGAGGTAATGAATTCCACTCGTTGATGATTCGATTAGGAAGTCGATAGTCAGCCGACAAGTAATTCGTTCTGGGCTTGTGAACTTTTTCGGAGTGTCCTCGTAAATTTTCTGTTTTGGAGAACAAGAAAAATGAGGGTATATCAGGTGCAAATTTGTCATTAGGCAATTTGAAAACTGTAATCAAGTCGCCTCTGATTCTTCTATATGACAGCGGGAATAGGTCAGTCTAGTACCATACGGGAGCTTCGCTATTCCGGGAATCAGCCTAGTTGCTGTTCTCTGAACCCTTTCCAAGAGTTCACTGTTTTTTAGGTATGCAGTACTCACTGTATACAAAGTCAGAAACGTTTTAGCGTCGAGATGCCTAAAAGCCCTACGTATGGACCATAAAGTTCTAAAGCCTTTGGCGGCTATTGCACGGTAGTGTGCAGTAGTCTTTAAGTCTTGACTAACGATGACTCTTAAGTCATTGTGTGTCTGGACATAGGTAACTCAGTGTTATTCATCGTGTATGTATCTGTATCCTGATGGCCAATATGCATCACAATACCCTTGGAAGTATTTATCGGCAACTGCAAGGTTTGGGACAATTCAGATAGCTTCTCCAGGTCGTTTTGGAGTTCTAAGCTATCACACTTACTTTGTATCGCTCTCCATATCTTGACGTCGTCAGCAAATAACAAGACTGATGACAATGGTAGACGAGGGAGGTCATTTACGTACAGGAGGAATAACACTGGCCCCAAAACTGTACCCTGGGAGACTCTACTAAGCACAGTTTCCCAGCTAGACAACTTGGAGTTCAACCTTACTCTTTGTTGACGCCAACTAGGAAGTCTTTTATCTACATCAATAGATTGCCTTCAATCCCGACATTCCTTAGCTTATAAAACAGCCGGTTGTGCGGATCTTTGTCGAAAGCTTTGCTGAAATCGATGTAAGCTACGTCTATATGTAACTTTTGGTCCTTAAGAGCGCACTAGATTTCACGAGTGACTAATAAGTTAGTGCGACAAGAATAACCTGTTCTAAAATCACGCTGCTTCTCCGAAAGGATCCGGTTTTCATCGAGGCACTTAAACAGCTCCTTTCGAATAATCTTTTCTGAGATTTTAACAACCACACTAGTTAGGCTAATTGGTCGGTAATTCTCAGGTTTATAAAGCAATTAGTCCCTTTGATAAATTTCGATAATGTAATAAGAAGACGAAGATTATCAGAACTATGTGATATATTAGCGCAATACATTTCGAACAATCTGATCACACATATACTTGTTTAGAACATTTATATATAAAAATAAAAGGTCAACTAGACTGGTAATAAGGTTTATTGAAGCCTTAGCCATACGAAAATTCAAACCCCCTTTGTGTATTCAAAAACAGTTTGTTCTCTCTTTAAACCTACCCTGGTAATAAATGCTTATTATCCAGAGTGATTAGGTGTCAAGTTGTTTTCATATTATTTTATCATTATTATCCTTGTCTATTTCTTAACCTTAATACCAGTCTAGTTGACCTTTTATTTTTATATATAAATGTTCTCAGGTTTATGTTTTGTACCTGTTTTGAAGACAGGACTTACTATGGCGTTCTTCCAGTCTTTTTGTAGACGACCCTGGGTTACGGATGAATTAAAACATATGCTTAAAGGATTCGCAACAAAGTTAGCTAATTCCTTTAGTAACCTAGGATGCAGTTCATCGGGTCCAGTGGATTTACCTATGTGAAGCTTAATTAGCAGACCAAAGACATCGAATTCTTTGATGTTCACGCTGTCGAGTGTTTGTGTGGGGGGATTTTCATGGACTGGTGAGAAGGGTGTTTCTATGGTATATACATCGCTAAAGTATTTAGAGAATACTTGAGTTTTGCCAAAGTCGTCCTCCACTAGTGATGTGGCAGTACTGTCTCCCCATAGTGAAGGAACATTTCTTCTCTTTTTTGTCTTTTGGTTTATATATGAATACAAGCGTTTAGGATAATCTATGGATTCTTTGAAAACTTTCTCTTCGAACAGCTTTCCGGACTTACGGAGGGTCGAGGCACAGGTATTCCGAGCTTTTCGATACTGATATTTTGCCTCATCAGTCCCCAGTAACCTAAATCTACCCACATATTCTTTCTTTTTCGGAGAAGGACGCGAACCTCGGCCCCCTAGGTGTAGTCCAAGGGATGTGGGGGCGGTAAATTTTAGGTATAAATTCCGGAATACGTCCCAAGCCGTTTCGATAAGGAACTCTGGGTCTATTGTCCAATCTAGTGACGATGCTGAGAACGTGCTGTCTTATATGTTCGCTTTCCAGACATGAGGTTTGGATTGAGCTGAGGCGTGCTCGTGATCGACAGTTATATAGAAGTCAAAGTTTAAAACTGCATGAGCATTTTTACCTAGGAGTGGCATGTAATCCAGGTTTGCGACGTCATCCTCATAGTGAGTCAATATAAGATCTAGTAAGGATGCAGAGCCCGGGTCGTAACTAGTCGCTTCTTTCACATGTTGCACTAGGGCTTGTGCCATAACCACATCAACTAGGTTCTGCTCGAAGAAATTATCTGACGATTTAGTTCGCAGATTTCCCCAGTCTACCATGGGTGTGTTAAAGTTCCTTTAGGATTAGACATCGACCACTTTGTCACCAAGTAATAAGACTGCTCAGCAGGACCTCATTTACCTCACAGCTTGAACTGCGATAGAACGAGTCAATCAGCAGCTCTTGTCCTTTGCATTTCAGGCGTCAACTAACTAATTACTACAACCCACTCTCATGGGATACACTGTCGATAATGGTGAATGAGATAGCATTCCTAATGAATAGAGGTACTCCCCCTCCTTTACGCTTTTGCTTACAATTTTTACATCTTTTTCGCCAGCATTTAATCTAAGCTGTAGTTCTTTTCGACTTCCCGTCTTTTTACATCCATCAAACTACGAATGACTAACACATACACTATAATTTAATCATCTTACTGGTTAATTTACATGTATATTAAAATACCTGTCAACTTAAAGTTCTTCTATTAGCTTTTTAAAATGTCAACCTAATTTATGGGTAAGATTTTAGTAGAAACAGTTATATGAACACATGATACTAGACCCAAGGAGCTGATATGTTCTTAGAATCAGGTAGTCAATTTCCTTCCTAACGATTCATTAGTATACTACCTTTTGGCTAAACAAATAGATTTCGACCAATAAATAACGAGATTTATTAAAATATACATTTCATTGAAATACGTCTTATCGCACGCATGCCTTGAATAGGTATGCCGATCATTAAGAAGCTGAGCTGCCTTTTCCGTTTACGAATACTTGACCACAAATACCATTCAATTTTAAACTTATATAACTGTTTTTCTATCCTCTTGATATTGTATTTACAAATAACGAGAATATCTTTCTCAGTTTTGAAAGATAAACCTTTAACATATCTATTACTTTATTCAAGTTAAAAAGAAACGTACATGATAGGGCTCAAATGTGTATATTTTTTAAATTCTAGGTTTCTGCTTATAGTTCTTAGCAATTTTCACTCATTGTCACATTGTCTCTCAGTGGCTAAGCTGGACATGTTCTACTCTATAATATGACTTCTTCAACTGCTATGTTGAGTGACTGTATTTTTGGATTGTAGCGATTGAATTGATTATTTGTGGTCTAGTGGTTGAGCGCTCTCGCGCGAGGTCCTGGGTTCGAATCTCGCGAGGCGGGATCGTGGATGCGCACTGACGAGGCGTCCCACAATAGGACGAAATGATCATTCAGTGCTTCCAGGTTTTCCATGGTGGTCTAGTTTCAATTCACTAATGATTTCAGCTATAAAATTATAGAAATGCTTCTAATCATCAGAAGTGAATTCGATTGTATACTACATAGAGTACTGTTATCTGGATTGCAAAAGCTTATGAAAACTATCAGATATATGAATATGACGGATTATCTGAATAATAAATGCAAAGTCAATTTACAGTCCCACAAGTAAAGCATCTTGAAATTAAACGACATCAAAAACATCAGAAAGACTCCATTCAGTAAATAAGATTATGTATATGTTATATTTATTTGTCTTCACTCACAACTACAAATTTTACATGTACAATTTGTTCAACAACAGTTATAAATTAACCAAACAAGTAAAATAATAGTAGTGTAGTGAAGACCAATCTATTGTATATAAAAAATTACAGTGTCTTCCTAAAAAATGAAAACCATACACATTCTCCATCAATTGTCTCTTACAAACTTCATCGCTCCTTCATTCCAAATGTTATTACAATTACTCTATGTTTACATTCTTGTTCACTTCAAGTCATTCTTCTCAACCTTCTGCTGCCAGGCATTTCACTTCTGACCAGTGTTATATACTACGTATGTCTATCAAAATAAGCAGCATACACTATAGTAATAATACTAATAATACTACTACTATTAATAATAATTGAAGTAGTGTTGCTAGTAGCATGACTATAACATACAAACATTAATAATCGTTCACTATAAACCAAATATACATTGTTTATATAAGAACAGTCTTGATTTCTCCTGAGGTAGGGGGTTGGCTTAAATGTAAATGAATAAGAATGACAGTAATTTTTAAGAAATAAACAAATAACTGTATGAAAAATTTTTAATCTCTTCGAAACAGTTGCCCATTTTTCCTGCATTTACATCTATGTCAATCTCACCGTTAATCAAAATTTCTTT